TGTGCAGACTGCTCCGCTCTGCCTTTGTGAAAACAGATCTGACAGGCAGAGATAGGTGGATGTGGTCGTGTGTCAATAAAACTTTATTGACAAAAACAGGCAGAGGCCAAATTTGGCCCCCTGGGAGAAGTGTCCCCATCCCTGCTCCAGCACAGTCTCTGTCACAGCGCATTGGGGCACCCCAGGCTCCTCTTCATGTGCACCCCCTTTCCCTGCAGCTCCGGTGTGGGCTTGGCTATGCAGGTGCGTGGTGTCCATTCGAGTGTGGCAGCTGACAGCCCCAGCAGGTAAGGCCAGGCTTCCTGGGACCCTGCACACACTAAAGCCCTCGCAGCAGCCCTGGGTGACACCAGAGCCCTCCCTCCACCATCAGGGTGAGGCAGCATGGATCCCTGCCCTCGGAGCCCTGCCCAGCCCCCTCCTGCACATCCGAGACAATGGCTGTGCGACCCCAGACCAGCAGGGCCCTTGATAGTGCATCAGCAGAGCTCAGGGACACCAAGTTCCCCTGGGGACACAGGCCCACTGGGGCCACAGCCGGCAGCCATCATTCATGCTGTCATTCAGCACGTGCGTCCTGCCCTGGGCTGGAGTGCCCGACCCTGAGCGCCTGACCCTGGCGGCCCAGCTCCTGCTGGAGCTGCCCCAGACCAGGCTGTGGTGCTGGCTTGATGCTGCCCTGGGAGAGGCTGCTCCAGGCCCGACCAAGGTGTGGGGTTGTTGTGGTGCCTGCCTAATGTCCACCCCCCCTGCCATGTGTTCCTATCCAGCACCCAGCCTGCTGCATCCACGGCTGGAGCCGTGCTCCCCAAATCCACCGCCCTTCCCAGCAGCCGGGGCGAGTATGTGGTGGCCAAGCTGGATGACCTCGTCAACTGGGCCCGCCGGGTGAGCCCCAACCCCCCTTGCCCCCCGGCCTCCCGCCGCCTGCTCTCACATGCTCCCACGTGCACACTGCGCCTGTCCTCTGCGGGCCCTGCTGTCCCCTTTGTGCCCCTGCCCCGATCTGGTCTCTCGCTCCGCCCCAGGGAACGTGACCGCCTCCCTTCTGCGGATTTCCTGTTTCTGTTTCTTCTTCTCTCTTCTCTTTCAACATAGACATGATTTTAACTGCGAAACCAGAGTGTGTCTAGAACAGGGGTTCCTTCCTGGGAAAAACCTGAAAACAGCCCGCCCCCAGGCCCCCAGAACTCAGCCTGGACAGTCTGCGTGTTGTGTGCACATCTTTGTCTCCCCCTGACTCACAGGAGCGCCTCTTGCTCTGCTGGGGGTGCCCGGGGTCCGTTCCTGTGTGCGTGTGTCTCTGCGTCCTGCCAGGGTCTGTGGCTCCAGCACGGACGTGGCCGCTGCAGTGTCGTCCTAACTATGCACACCTGAGTGCTGTCCAGGTTGCCTTCTTGTGTAGCCCACCCCCGGGCGCCCGCGTTAACAGTAAGGCGGGCAGGACCCCGTGCAGGTCCCCGACGAGGCAGGGACGGCAGGGAAGGCTCAAGCAGAGAAGTACAGCAGGAGAGAGGCAGGCACCAAATGGATGGAGGAAGTGGTCGGAGGGCAGCCAAGGGCAGCCAGGAGGCCTTCCTGGAGGAATAGGCATTTGGAGTCCCTGAACCCTAGGAAGTGTTACAAATGAGTCAGTTGCAGGGGCTGAGCCCCAGGGTCTCGACTGCGACGTGCGGCTTTCCTGGCACTCAGAGCCACGCGAGCTATGCTGAAAGCACGGATCGAGGACATGCTGCGTCACTGCGTGAGCCACCTGGTTAGCACTCGTTTCACCGGGGCTCGAGTTCTTCTTTGGGAACGTGGCCGCCGGAGGGTGCTGGCCCACAGATGTAGCTTGTTTTCCCTTCCTGTTACCGCCCTGGGCCGGTGACCCTTCGGGGCCTGGCAGTGCCGTGGCGGCCGTGGGGAGGCCTGGTTGCCGGGCCCTGAGCTGGGGCGGGCGGGCGGCACCGTCCCCTGGCTGAGCACCCTGCCCCCGCAGAGCTCCCTGTGGCCCATGACCTTCGGCCTGGCCTGCTGCGCGGTGGAGATGATGCACATGGCCGCGCCGCGCTACGACATGGACCGCTTCGGCGTGGTCTTCCGCGCCAGCCCGCGCCAGTCCGACGTGATGATCGTGGCCGGCACGCTCACCAACAAGATGGCCCCTGCACTCCGCAAGGTAGGCCCGGCCCCGAGGCCCGCCGCCTGCGCCCCGGCCTTGAGCCGCAGCCAGACCCCGCCGTCTCTTCCAGGTGTACGACCAGATGCCCGAGCCTCGCTATGTCGTGTCCATGGGGAGGTGAGTGCCCGCCTCGCCACGGCACCCCTGCCTGTCTCCGCTCCCTCTGCCGCGGTCACCTCGGGACACCTCGTGGCCCCTCCCCAGGGCACCCCTCCTGCGCTGCTCGGGGTCGCCCCGTTCTGGCCCTGGCCATGCGGCACGGATGTAAATGGCGCTGCTCCATGGGCCGTCTGCGTGCCCCTTGCCCCGCTGCCTGCCGCCCTCCCCAGTCCCTTCTCCACACTGCCAGCAGCTCTTTCCTCACCTCACTGTTCTGGGAGGTAGAGCTGGGGCGGTGCAGTGCCCCTGTCCAAGTGCACAGTTCCGTGATGGGCCACGGATTCACGGGGCTGTCAGCTGTAGCCCCTAGTTCCAGAACATTCCATCATCCTCCAAGGAAACGTTCCCGTCAGTCATCCCCCCGACCCCTCTCCCGGACCCCAGCCCCCGCGAGCCCCCTCCCCATCCATGGAGGCGCCTCTTCTGGGCGTGTCACACATGTGCTCACACCCCGTGGGGCCTCCTGCGTCTGGTCCCCTCCCTGTGGCCGTGGGCTCGGGCTGTCCGTTTTCTTCAGTCTCCCTGGTCCCACAGAAGGCCTCGGGCGGCCGTTCCTCTCTTCAGGGACCGCGCGCCCCCATCCTGCCCATTCCTGGTTCCTGTTTGCACCTGGAGGCAGGTGGGGGGCAGGGCCAGCGGCCAGCATGCCACTCACCGTGCCACCCCTCCAGCTGTGCCAACGGAGGAGGTTATTATCACTACTCGTACTCTGTGGTGAGGGGCTGTGACCGCATCGTGCCCGTGGACATCTACGTCCCAGGTGAGCCCACCCCGTCCGTGTCACAGGGTCCCCACACCCCTGCGGAGGCTGCAGGCTCCCACCCTTCCCAGGCAAACAGGTGTAGGCCCAAGCAGAAGAGTGAAGCCCCAGCCGCCTCCTCCCTTGTCCCCTGAAGGTCTCCCCGACTGCGGAGACTTGGGTCTTATCCAGCCAGGGGCCCAGGCCAGTGCGGAAGGAAGCCTGAGTCTGAGCTGGGTGAGGGCGGCTCCTCGGCCGTCTGCAGACACACTTTGCGTGGTTCCACGTGACAGACACAAGCCCAGAGAGACACAGTTAGAAAACAGAATGGTTCCAGAGGTCAGGGCCGGGGCGCACGGGGTCTCGCTCTCATGAAGGAGGGCAGGGCTCCCTTGGAGCCCAGGTTGCCGGCCTGGCCGGATGGCACAGATGGAAACGCCTAATGCAGTCATGTGTGTCGGGAAAGCGAGGAGCGTCTGTGATCCGCGTCCCTGGAAAAGGATCGTGTGTCTGGTGAAGCCTGTGTCTGGCCGTGCTTGGGCCCGGGGCCTCTGCCCTCCTTGTGTCAGAGGTCGGGGTTCAGCTGGTGGTGCTCAGCCTGCAGACGGAGACCCTGTGTTCCTGGGTTCTCAGTGCCCCCACGGGAAGCCCGACCTGAGCCCCGGCGAGGCGAGTAGAGGACACTCGAGGCCCCGACTCCAGGCTGCCCGGGAAGGTTTAGGTCACGATGCTCTGGTGCCCTTTAGAGGAACAGTGGATGGTGGTGATTAGGGTTCTGGAGACATTTGCTGAGCGCCTTGGCCACTCCAGCCCCCAGGGCGTCCCCCACTGTGGGGGGCCGGGGCCCGTCTCGGGGGGTGGGCACGGGGGAATCCACCCTGCGGATAGAGGCCAGGCCCTGCCCAGCTGCCCCGTTGGCTGTGTGACCGAGGGCAGGTCTCCCCTCCGAGCCCGGCCCCCTCCACCAGGCAGGCTCTGGGGACAGCACTGCTGGATTCTGGGCCAAGGACCACCCGTGCCTGTGGTTGTCCTTCCGGGCTGCTCCCCCCTGGGGGGTGACCTGTCCCTCTGCTTCTGGTGCGGTGGTGGGGATGAGGGCCCCAGGGCTTTCCCTCCTGTGGGCCATGTGGGCCTCCCTGCCCGGCCTGGCTGTCCTGCCCCCTAGACTCCCCCATCCCTCCCTGCTTTCCAAGGGCGCACTACCACCAGGGGCTAGCGTGGCCCAGGGTCAGCGGGCTACCTGTGCTTGTCCCCCCAGAGGCCCCAGGCCAGGTCATCGGGCTAGCGGACAGGGCAGCTGGGCCCAGAATGGGCAGCCCAGTCGTCCTCACTGCACGTAGCTTGACTGCCAGGGTCAGGAACTCGAACCCCCAACCTGGACAGCACAGGCTAGAGGCGGTGCTGGAGACGGGGCCCCCGGCCCCCTCAGACCCCTCCCCGGACATGGCTCTGCTGCCCCCTTCTGGTCCCAGGGCCCATCTGGCCTCCAGCTGCTGTGCCCAGCCTCCCCTTCGACCATCCCCACGGAGGTGCACTTTGCCAAGCAGCAGGGATCCGTCACTGGCCCCGGCGTGGGGGATGGGCACAGTTCCAGGCATCCCGTCACCGGTTGGGGGAGGGCGCAGGGCGGGATCCGGCCACCCGCGGTGGGCAGGGAGACTGAGGCACGGCACCACCTGCAGGCTGCCCGCCCACGGCCGAGGCGCTGCTGTACGGCATCCTGCAGTTGCAGAGGAAGATCAAGCGGGAGAAGAAGCTGAGGATTTGGTACCGCAGGTAGCGCGGCCCCAGCTCCGGCCCTGCTCTGGGTCCCGCTCCGGCCCCCGCGGGCTCCGCCCCCCTCCGGCCAATAAACAGACAGAGCTCGGTGCGTCCCGCTCCCTGTGTGACAGGCGGCCGCGGGCGCGCTGGTAGTGGGAGAGGGGGGCGTTGTGCCAGGCAGGCCTAGTCCTGTGCACGGAGCCACTGAGGCCCTGCAGGAGGACGGTGGACAGGCCGAGAGCCTGCGGACACAAGAGCGCGTAGCCCTGGGGGCAGCGGCAGGCGCGCTTGGCGCCCGTGGAGGGGTGAGTTGAGGGTCCTGGGATTAAAGGTTTCGCTTTGTTGAAGGCCCTCTGCCTGACCTGACGGGGTGGGACCAGGGACTTGGTGGCTGCGTGGCCCTGACGCGTGCCACCTGCTCTCTGCTTCAGTGGCCGGTTGGGGGAGGGGCTGACGAGTGTCTGTCTGCTATGACCCAGTGGTCCTGTAGGTCTGTCGCGCGCACAGGGAACCTCACGTGCTGGGGGCAGAGAGGCCTCCCCCACCCCCATCTCCCCGGAGGTCGGTTCAACAGATGATGATGTTCTGTACGTGTCCTGTTTGGAGGAGCAGGAGAAGTCACCACAAGCACATGTTTGCGCCATCTTGCCAGTTGGGCAAGCCCAGGGCTGGCGTTTATTGGGTCCTTGAGGACACGTTCAGGGAAGCTTGTCCCACTGCTGGTGTGTCTGGACTCAAACCCAGGACCGAGAGCCCAGAGCCTGCACTTCTGGCTGTGAAGGCACTGAGTGGGGCCACTGGGACAGGACTGAAGCCCCCCCGCAGGCTGAGCCCGAGGCCCGGCAGGCTCAGTGCTTGCGGACCAGGGGTGCGATCATCTGCGGGAAGGCGTAGTAGCGGCACTCGTCCGGCGGGGCCAGCTCCACCAGCTCCACACCGATGTTCTCCCGCCTGAAGCCCGCCTCCAGCAAGGCGGGCACCTGCGTCTCCTGGTGGGGGTGGGGGTGGGGGTGTCACTCGCAGGGCCATGGGGCCCACTCTTCCCAGGACGGCAGTACAGTTTCCGAGGCCCCTGAGAGCCGGGCTCGCAGCCTGGCCGCTAGCCCACAGAAACAGGAGAGCCCATGGCTGCGAGGGCTCCCTCCAGGCGTCTAAGCTCAGGGAGCAATCCCCCACTGTGGGGCATCAGCAGGCTGGCAGGGACAGCCTGCCTAACCCTGTAAAGTCCTGGTGGCTGGAGGGGGGCAGAGTGAGGGGCAATGCCGGGGTGGGGAGCCTGGGCCGTATCCCTGTGTCCTGAAGGTGCTGGGGAGCCGCGGAAGGCCGCTGAGCTGAGACCTTACCTGACTTCTAAGTGGAGGCTCACAGTCCACCCAGGAGACCAGCCTCTGAGGCCAGGGACCCCACCCCCACCCCCCGCCCAGGTCACAGGCTGCTGCCTGGCTTGGGGCTGGGGCAGGGACCCCTCCCCCACCAGCGGAGCTCCCGGCGCACCTCAAACATGGCGGTGATGTCAGAGTACCGGGTCTTCATCAGCTCCCCCCAGGAGGTGAGGTTGCAGTAGGTCAGGAGGCCCCCAGGCTTCAGCAAACGAAAGGCATGGTCCTGGGCAGGGGACAGTGGTCAGGAGGGAGGTCGGGGGTGTGGACAGAAGCCACTTCCCTGGGGGCCTCCCACCTCCTGGCCGGTCAGACAAACAGGGAGAAGGTGTGAATGGCCCCACCCGCACTCGCCCCTGGGGTGACTGTCCCCCACGCAGGCCCTACCCTGATGAACTTGAACTGGTGTGTGTGCCAGGTCTCCTCGGAGAGTGGGTAGGTGTCATACAGGATCCCTACGCAGGCAGTGGGGGGCCAGAGCTCAGGGCTGGGCAGTGGCCCCGGCAAGGGTGTGTGCACAGAGGGCCTGGCTGTGCCCCAAGCTCTCGGCCCGCCGCCACCCCCGGGGACCTTGTCTCCAGCTGTTCTTCTGGCATCCGCCACGCACCCCCCCCAGGCGACACTGCCATGCATGTTCCTGACAAGGCCCGTCCTTGAGCCATGGAGCAGGGCTGGGGGTGGAAATTCGGGCAGCACCCCCCAGACCCCTCCCCCCTTACCATCAAAGTGGCCATCTGGCAGGGCAGGTGCCACGTCCTCCCACAGGCCTTTCAAGGGAACCACCTGGGGCCGGGGAGACAAAAAGAGAAGGTTGAGGGTCTCTGGTGTCCGGCCTCTCCCCACCTGCCATAAGGGAGAGGGCAGAGGAGTTCCCAGGGGAGAATGCCACTTCCTCCGTCCGCCGCAGGGACCCAGGCCCCCACGCCTTCCGGGGCAGGCAGGCGTGGGCACCTTGTGTGGCTGCCGTTGGGCCCAGTCCTGGAGCCGCTGGAAGACGCCGTCGTTGCACTCGATGATCCAGTGCTCCTCAATAGGGGCCTCCTGCACCTTGGAAGCTGCGATGGCCATGCCGAAGCCCACCTCCAGCACTCGGCCCCCTGGTCACACAAAGAGCCCCTTATCACTTGCCAGGCGGGGGCTGGGCAGCTGCCTGGAGGAGGGGGCACAAGGCCAGGAGGGCACAAGTGGGCCGGAGGTTTGGAACACAGTAGCTCTGAGCAGGAATGGCGTGGGCTGTGGCCAGGGGCCAGGGAGGTGTGGGCAGCCAAGTTTAGGCATGGCCCGGGGGGGGGGGGGGTGAGGGGGGTCAGACCCTGGACTTTGAGCCCCACTGGCCCTTATCTCTCCAGTTGGTTATTTTCTCTACCTCCTACCCTTGCTTGCTATGATAAGGGGGTGCGGGGTTTGAGGCCTCAAACCTGCAACAACTGGGGAGGAGATGGGTCCCCACTGGCCCAAAGACGGGCCAGGGGAACACCCCAACTACGCAGGGACGCTGGGTATGCTCATTCGCCAGGCAGAAGCACAGGTGCCAGAGGACCCATGCCCTGCCCCTGGGGACTCCTCAGACCTCCACCCGGGCACAGGGCCACCCCTGCAGCTGCTTCCCAGCCTCCGCTTACCCCCCACCAGCTATTCTTAGCATGGGCGGGGCTTCTGGGGACTCCGGGGCGGAACATTCCCCCAAGGTGCCTGGGCAGTGCCCCCGCCCGACCCGCCCGACCTCCACAGAGCCCCCCACCCCCACCTCACGCGGGGAACACGGGTGAGCTCCGGACGAGGAGGTCGTCGTCGTCGGTCCCATTCCCCCGACCCAGCCTGTCCCCGTCTGCGGGGTGGGGGCCCATCACCCCGGGATAGGAGGTTCCGGTACTTAGGAGGCGCCTGCTGTGTGCAAGCCCGTGCCCGCAGCACCCCCTTTACTTCCCCGTTGTCCCCCGCTAGCCTTATTTCGCGGGCGGGAAAACGGGGCACCGAGGGGCTCGAATGCACCTCAGCGGGAGAGCAGGTTGGACCCCGGATCTGGGCGGCCTTCGGCCTCAGTTTACCCCTGCGCGCCCGGCTACCTTTGGAGGTGGCGGCAGCCGCCAGCGCGTGCATGTAGGGGGTCTCCCAGCGCTCCATCACCGGCTTGCCAAGGATCTGCAGCTGCGTGTCCGCCGCGTCGTAGGCCGCGGGCGCCGCCTGCCACGCGGGGCTGCAGTTCTCGCCGGGGGCGAAGATGGGGGGCGCGGCGGGGACGCTCATGCTTGCGGCGGGGCGCGCAGCCGGACTCGGCTCGGGACGCGCGGGCCTGGTCGCGGCGAGGCCTTGTGGGGCGGGGCCGCAGGCGGGGGTGGGGCCGCAGGCGGGGGCGGGGCCGCAGGAGGGGGCGGGGCCGGGCGCCGCCTGGGCCGGGCGCCGCCTGCGCTGTGCACCCACGGGCCTGCGGCGGCCACCGCGCTTAAGGCACCCTGGGCCCGCTCCGTAAACAGGCGGCGCACTCGCTAAATGTCGCGGAGTTGAAGCGATGGCCCGGAACGCCCTGCCTGAGACAGAAGGCCGCTCGGACCGGTTAGCCGTGCCTGTGTAACAGGTTACCCCGGACGTGGCCGCTTCCAGCGGCGCCCGTTTATCATCCCTTAGCTGGATCCCCTGTCCCTCACCCTGTCGGAATGCTGCGGGCAGGGGCCAGCCAGTTGTGGGGGCGCCCCCGAGGCCGCCTCTAGGGAAGGGCCCGCTTCCGAGCCCGGGCACTGGCTGTGGGTAGCGGGAGGGCCTCAGTCCACGGCTGCGTGGGCCTCCGAAGGCTGGCGACCTGCTTCATCAGAGCAGCAGGAGAATCTGCAACATCAGAACTGTCCGGAGTCTAATCACAGAAGTGACCCCGTCCCCCTGGCCAGGCACAGGAGGGTAGGGATCACACAGGCCCGGGTAGAGCAGGAAGCCGGGGTCGCTGGGGAACTCTCAGAGGCTGCTGCCCAAACAGAGCCTGAGCGAAAGCAGGGAGGGGGCGGTCAGCTCAGAGCCTCCCTTGTGGTTTCATTGTCCCCTGAGATAAGGGACCTCCCGATGGTCATCTCCATGCAACTTGGACTCCATCCCAAAAAGCAGCGACGGCACATTACGGTCTGGCTGGCAACTTAGTCAAATGGTTTCTGTTCCAGCTTCATCTTCCTCTCCTCTCAGATGGGCCACACTCGTTCCTGCTCATGTTGGCAAGGGAACGACACGAGGTCACTCCTTGTGTCCACTCCTTGTGAGAGACCCTAGTGTGTGCTGCGACTGTCTGCACTTCACAGCCTGGAGTCCGAGACGGTGAGTGATGCCATGACGGGCCACAGCAAGATCAGGCAGAGAGGATGCAAGGTGGGATGCGTCCGAACCAGTCTTACCAGATTACGTAGACCCGTGTCACACATATACACACGTAACACGTACTCCTGATCACAAAGGGGACTCGTTTGGTCAGAGCGCTCTCATGTTACAGAGTTGCCATCAGCCTGCAGAGCCCATACCCCTGGTGTCCTTTTGGTACGGCTTAGGATGGTTTTTACATTTTTAAATAGCTGGGGGGGGGGCCCAAAAGACTATTTTACAACACATGTAAGTTACATGACATTCACCTTTGTGCATGGGCAAATAAAGTTGTATCGGCACGGAGCCAGCTCCGCTCGTTACCATCAGCACGCTGGTGTTTTTTTTTCTGGCTGTAACGGTCCAGGTGAGTCATGGCCGTGAAACCTCACGCCCAATGAAACCAAAAATATTTACTACTTTGCTCTGTACAGAAAAAGTGTGCCAGCCCTGCTGTGCAGCAATGGGTCGTGGGAAGTGACATTCATTCATTCATCAGACGCATGAAGAGTACCTTAATTTGGGGGTTCCATCCCGACTCCCCTGGAGCTCAGAGCCTACTTGCGGGGGGAATGAACAAGAATAAGTGATAAGTGGGGCACCTGGCTGGCTGCATCTGTGGAGTGTGCGGCTCTAGGTTTCAGGGTCGTGAGTTCAAGCCCCACGCTGGGCGTGGTGCCTACTTAAAAAAAATTAAAAATTAAAAAAAATAAAACAGTAAGTGAATGAGATAATTACAAGCCACATGGCAACCATGACAGAACACAGTCCTGTGTTCCTGTCCAGCGCCTCTCTGCTTTACCCGCCAATATCCATGTTACCATATGTATGTGTATGTATGTAGTATACAAAATTGTAACTTTTGATTTTTTTTTTTAAGATTTATTTGACAGACAGAGATCACAAGTAGGCAGAGACGTGGTGAGGTGGGGGAAGCGGGCTCCCTGCTGAGCAGAGAGCCTGATGTGGGGCTCGATCCCAGGACCCTGAGGTCATGACCTGAGCCTAAGGCAGAGGCTTAACCCACTGAGCCATCCAGGCGCCCCCCTCTTCTTATTTCAAAGATAAAACTTTTCTATTAAGAGGGATAGGGCAGATATCTGTACATTGTGTTCACAGTGGCCAGAAGGTGGAAACCACCCAATGTCCGTCAGTAGATGGAGGATAAACACAATCTGTCCGTCCATCCACACACTGAAATATCATTCAGCCCAAGAAAGGAAGCGACCCTGTCTCCTGCCACGACGCGGAAGGACCCGATGACACGGGGCTCAGCGAGAGAAGCCAGACCCAGAAGGACCCATCCTGCAGGTCCCCACTCCCAGGAGGGCCCCAGAGGAGTCCCATCCACACAGAGAGGAGAGGGTGGGAGCAGGGGCTGGGGCAGGGGTGGGGAGTCCGTGCTTCGTGGGGACAGAGTCTCTGTGTGGGGGGATGGACAGTTCTGGAGACAGAGGGCGGGGGTGTGAGTGTACTTCCCGCTGCTGAGTGGTGCACTTAGAGATGGTTACGATTTTGAATTTTATGTTTATTGTCCAACATTTGAAAAGAGACCAAAGCTATATCTCGTGGATTGGGTATGCGTGTGTCCATGTTAGAAGTAAACTCAGAAGTGTCCACATACCTGTTATTGTCACAGCATTCGCTCTGGGGCAGGAGGTAGGAAACGAGTCAGGAAGGAGGGAAAAACTGGCTAGTTTATCTTTTTTAAAAGATATGGAGTAGGGGCGCCTGGGGGGCTCAGTTGGTTAAGCCACTGTCTGCCGCTCAGGTCATGGTCCTGGAGTCCTGGGATCAAGTCCGGCATCGGGCTCCCTGCTTGGCTGGGAGTCTGCTTCTCCCTCTGGCCTTCTCCCCACTCATGCTCTCTCACTCTCTCTCCCTCAAATAAATAAATGAAATTTTAAAAAAAAGATACAGAGTAAACATACAAAGCCCTAACAGGTTTGCCCCCGTGGCAGGTGCAGGACTCCGCTCCTCCACGCGGCACCCCGCCTCCACTGTCAGCGTACCTTCTAAGCAGATTGTACGCCCATCGCATCGCAGGGCTTGAACTCATGACCCCGACATCAAGAATCGCATGATCTACTGACTGGGCTAGCCAGGCACCCCAGCGTCCGTCTTTTCAAAAATATATTATTTTGAACAGTTTGTGTCTGGCTTCCATCACTTGCCCACATCCTGTGTATTTCACCCGGGCCCTCTGTGGTTTACTTGCGCAGATGCCCGTGGATGGACGTGTGGGTTCCGTCCCATTTCTGGCTCCTCTAATAGCTGTGAGCATCCTGGGACATCTCTGTGCTCAGTGGGGCCAGCATTTGGGGGATGCATTCCTGGAAGTGGGGCTGAGCTCCCTCCTGCTTGCTCCCCCCATCGGGGACATGCAGCTAAGCCTGGCCCAGCGCTTTCTTCTCCGCACGCCTGGGGCATGTCCTTCCAGCGCCACGGGCCCCCGTGGGGCACCAGTGCCTGCCACCCGTCCGGACTCCTCCGACCTGCAGAGCGCCGGAGCCGTGCACGAGGGCGGTTCCCGGGGCGCGGACGGACCGCATGCCCGCCGCGACCCGCCCCGGACCGCTCGCTGCCCACCCGCCCTGCGGAGGGGCCTAAGGAGGTCCTGCGCCCCGGCGACCGCTCTAAGTGACACGAGGCCCGCGTGCTCGGCAAACTCTAAGTGCCCAGCGGCTCGCGCCGCCCGCCTGAGACCCGGCCCCTCCGCCGCTTCAGGCTGACCCTGAGAAGTACATGCACTTGCCGCCGGCGGAGAGCGACGCAGCCGCGCGGCGCCGCCAGACTGCAGGGCACCGGTCCCGGCGGGCTGCTCCGGGCTGCGGGGCCGTCTGCAGCGGGGCCCCCAGCCCCGCATCTCGGGGGACGGGGGCAGGCGGCGGGGACGCCTCTCCGGCCGCCGCCGCCCTCTCGTCCCGTCAGACGGGCTCCGCGGTCGCGGCCGAGACGCCGACCGGGAAAGGGGTACCGCCGCCTCGCGTCACCCCGCAGTGGGCGTGGCCTCTGCCCGCCGTTGACCCCGCGTGCCACTTCCGACCCGAGCGCAAACAAGGAAGCCCAGCCGCGCCTGCGCCCCGCGGTGCCTGGCTCGGAGGGCCCGCGCGCGCATGCACGCACGCCGTTCGGCGGCGCGCTCCCCTCCGCCGGGAGGGGCCGGCGCGCGGGACTCCACTTCCCAGCGTGCTCCGCGGCGACGCCCTTCGCCGTGCAGGAGCCCGGCCTCCCAGCGGCGGCACTGCACGCAGGCGCGCACGCAGGCACGCACTCCGGCGGGCGCACCCCTGGCCCCGCCCCCGGAGGCCCCGTGCGGGAGCGCGCCCGGGCGTGCGCAGGGCGGCGGCGCGGGCGCGGGGGCGCGCGGTGACCGTTGGCGCTGAGGGGAGGAGGCAGCGCGGCCGCCGCCGTTGCGCAGATCCGGGCCGCGGCTGTGGGGAGGGCGCCGGGGCCGGTGACCTTCCGGAGGCGGGAGCGAGCCAGGGGGCCCGGGACGCCGAGCGCCGCCGCCATGAACAACTCGGGCGCCGACGAGATCGGGTGAGGACGCGCCGGCCTGCGCCGCCGCCGCCCAGACGCCGCCCCGGCCCCCGTCAAGGTCACGCCGGCGGGCCGCGCTGGGGCCGACGGCCTGGGGGGCCGGGGACCACCGCCGGGGCCGGGGGGCGGCGAGCGGGAGGGAGCCCGGGAGTCCGGCGTCCCGCCGCTTCCTGGCCGGGGCGGCTCTGGGAGGGCCGGGGGGGGGCAGCCGACCCGGGTGCCGGACTATGGGGGGGGGCGGTCAGGGCGTCCCCGTCGCCGCCGCACCCGGCTCCCCCGTCGGGGCAGCGGGGAGCCTGGAGTCCCGGGCCGTGTTGTCCGCCCCCGCGCCGGGTTTGTGGCGGGGGAACCTCGAGCGGAGCCTGGGAGGGTCCGGGGGGACCGCCGCCGCCTCCTGCGCGAGGAGGACCGGGAAAGGGAGCCGGGGGGGCTCTGGGACGCCGTGTGCCCCTCGGCGAGTGGACTTCCCGCGGGGGGGGGGTACTAGAACGGCAGGCAGGGGTCGTGGGGCGCCCCGGCCGCCTGGGTGCCGGGCTTCACCGGGGCCCCCGGGACTCCCCCCAGCCCGCGCACCAACTTGGCGGGGCGGCGCACGTGGCGGTCCCGGCCTCGGCCCTGCCGGCTGTGCCGCCGCGCAACTTCTTCCCCGCGGGCGGCGGCTCGCCCCGAGGCCGCTCTGAGCCCCTCCCGGGGTGCGAAGAACAAGGAAGGTGCGCGGACCCGGAGCCAGGGCCACCGTCACGTGGGCCCGGCCCCCGGGCCGCAGCCTAGCGCTGGGCGCCCCGACCATCTGCCCGGGGTCTGCAGCTGGAGCCCCTTCCGGCTCGGCGCCCGCCGGCCCCTAGCAGGCGTTTTGGAAAGAAAGGGGGAAGGTACCTGCTGGGCGGACCTGGGCCCCTTGACCACAGCGGAGGTCTCGCTGCGTCCGCGCGGTTGGAGCTCGAGGTGTGAGCGGGGGGTCCTCCAGGGGCTCGGAAATCCGTTTCTGCCTTGGTTGAGGGGCGTGGTCAGGTTTTCTTTGCAGAGCGCGGCCCTGTGCCCCCGGCGGGGATTTATGATTCCGTTTTTCCGTGCAGTTTGGGGCTGGGGTTCTGTGGCCTTGTGTATGCTTCTCCGTGCGCTCAGGTGCTTGATGGCTCGTGGGGGATGACTGGCCTCCCAGGGCCCCCAGCTCCCGGTTACCCCTGTGCACATAAAATGCCTTCTGTGGGCTCCTCCTTCCCAAACCGCACACGGAGGGCACCCGGAGCAGGACCCCGAACTCCTAGCCTGGTTTGCTTTAAAGAGCGTGTCTGGAGACTGGGAGGCGGTGTTTTTGTGTTACGTGGTGAAAAGTCGCGGCACTTCTGACAGGAAACCAGGGTATAGGGAGAAAGGGCTCCAGAAGTGAGGCAGAGTCTGTCGGTGAGTTCGCCGGCCTGCTGCATCCTGGCGGCGCTGGCCTTCCAGAGCGCATCCATGTAGCGCCCAGGCTGGGGTCTTCCGGCGGCGTTGCACTGCCTTTCTCTCGGCAGGGAGAGCAGACGAAGCTCAGGAGGGAAGGGGGCCTGGAGACCCCCGAGGTGTGCTGCAGGGATCCAAGCCTGGGTCTGCAGAGGCAGCCTGAGGACGCCGTGGAGCTAGTAGTGGGTCCCGTACCCTGGCTGGCCACATTCCCCTCCCCAAGCTTGCACATCCGCCCGCATCGCTGGACCCCTAACGTCGTCAATGTCAGGTGTCCAGAAACTTTGAATTGCTTTGCGGGTAGAAATCTGTTGCTAAAAACTATTGACCAGTTTCTGTTTTGTACAGGATCCTTGTTTCTGGTCCGTTGATGTGGGAGTCCAGGGTCCACTTTGATCTCCGTGCTCTGCTTGGCTGTCCTCGGACAGTACGGTGACCTCGCTGGGCTCCGTTTCCTGTGAGCAGAACGGGGTTGCCGACTGTGGGCGGCTACCGCGTGGGAGCGAGTGTGGTGCTCAGATCCAGGTGATGGGAGGTGTTAGCGGGCCGTGACAGGTCTGAATGATCTCTGACGACATGCCCCTTCATCTCCGGTCCCCCTTGTTGGGTCTGTGGTCAGCCTCATCCGAGTGACTCCCGAGGGAGCGTTTCACAGGCGGGAAGGGCTGCTCCCCTCTCTCTAACAGGAGCCGCATGTGTGGGTGCAGGGGCAGTGCCTCAGGAAGCGTGTGGACGCGTGGGGTGCTGTCCAGTGGGGGATTGTCCTCCTGCGTTTGAGTCTTCCAGGGAAGAGCGTCACCGAGTCTGGGCTGTACCAAAGCCGTCTCAGCGGTCCCCGGGAAGTGTGGCGGGAGAGAGGAAGTTGGCTGAGACTGGTGGTTTTAGTTAGCGTTTCCATCGTTCCGATTGTCACAGATCAGCCAGAGCAGAGGGAGGGCTGGGTCTGGAGGGCAGAGAGCTGATAGGAGCAGCAGGGTCACGTGGGGCCCCATGTGGCAGATGTGTGACATGCTGATAACCTCCCTTGGGGCCAGAAACCAGGGGGGACAGGCACTCACCTTGCTGGGGCGGGGGGGAGGGCATTCTGTCTTCTTTCCTGTGCCATGATATTAGAAGGGCGACTTGGAAGGGTCTCTCAATTCCGGCTTAGGCTCTGGTGCCGGCACAAGCCCTATAGAGGTCCAGACCCCTGGTCTCTGGGGGGGGCCTCTTGCGGGTGTGTGCAGTGCCGTGGGGGAGGGGGCAGGGGGGTGGTTCCCGTTAGGACCGAGGCATCCTGTGCCACCTGCCTCCGGGGCCACTGGCGTGTGTTGAGATGCTGAGAGAGGTGTTATCGGGTGTGTGTGCTGCCAGTAAGGCAGGGCCAGCCGGACGCCATCGAGGGAAGAGTCCCGGGGGAAGGTGGGCTCCGTGGAGAGAAAGCAGCAGCACGCGTGTCCCTGTGAGAGCAGGTGCCGGGAGGTGGCGGGAACCCAGGGCTGCTGGAGCTGGAAACTCGGAAAGCTGGCAGCCTGCCCCCCCCCCCACGTTCCCAGCAGCCCAGCCGGCCCCGGCTGCCGTGCGAGTAGGGTGAGGCCAGAGGCCGGGGCCTGGAAGAGTGGGGACTGGGTAAATAAATGTCTGTTTTCTCTGAGTGCCCGGGAGGTGGAAGGGGTCCTGATGGTTGGGTTCAGAGAGGTCCTGACTGCGGAGGAGGTTGTCTTCTTGCCGTGGAGAGGGTGATGGAGACTTCCAGGGGTCAAAGGTAAAGATGCTGCTCTTCTGCAGTTTGGATAGTCCCCAGCAGTGCTGACATTCGGGGCGTCCCGGGAACTGTGGGGCTGAGCAGCATCCCCGAGGCCCGCCCGGTGCTAGGAGCACCCCCAGTTGTGCCCCCAGACACTCCCCAGTATCCTCTGACAGATGAGACACCTGTTTCGTCCCATCTGCTCTTTTCAGCTGGGTCCCCGGGGCGTCCCTGCTGCCTGCTCCCGGGCTTCAGGTTTGTGTGCTCTAGTGGGAATGAGTTTGGAGCCTGTAATGTTGACCGTGACGTTGGGAGGTGCTCTGGGTGACTACTTCTGTCTCCGGTGCTGGCCATGGGTCGAGCACTTTCACCGGGTGACGTGCCTCCTCTGCTGGCAGCCGCTCCTCCCTTGTTTGACTGAGGCTTTTGCCCAGTACCAGGGAGTGCTGCTGGGGGACACTGGTCCTGCCTGGGGGAGGGCAGGTGCAGGGCCTCACAGGGGGAGGCTGAGGGTGTCGGGAGTTTACGCCAGGCACCAGGGCGTCCTGGGGTTTTCTCTTGCAGGCGTCACTTGACTGGCCCCCCACAGTGGTCTGGGAGGGGGCGAGCTCCTTTGCCGGCAGGAGGGTAGGCTGAGCTGCTGCGGGCAGGGCCTGAGCCCCAGGACTTGGTGTCTGCTGCTGTGGGGTGGCTGCCGGGCCCGTGTTGTGTCCCTCGCTCCAGAGCTGCTGCCTTCCCTGGGCAGACAAGCATATACTTAGGGAGACCCGGTCCCGGGCGACCTCCCTGGAGGGGCAGGACTGTGCAGACTAGGCTCTGCGCTGCGCACGTCAGGCAGAAGAGCCGTAGGCGGAGCGGCCGCGCCCGGCCCAGGCTCTCGGCTTCTTGGCCTCCGGAGCCAAGCCGTGCCCTGCCGCTGCCTCCCAGGCAAGGTGGCGCTTTCTGAAGCCTGCCTGCCCCCTGGGAGGGGGCGGAGCCGCAGTGGCTGGCTGGGGCCAGGGAGGCCGCTGAAGGTCTGCTTCCTGGCCTGAGCACCATGGGGCTGCCCTGAGGTGCGCGGAGCGGGAGCGGCACCGTCCTCCACGGGGGTTTCCAGCCTGGCGGGTGGGGGGCCGGTGGGTTAAGCAGAGCTGGTGCCACCAAGCGCTTGTGCAGAGCCCCTTCCAAGAGGGGTCACCAGCACCTCCTGTCGGCGCGGGCCCTGGGAGCCACCTCTCCCGGGCCCTCCTGGTAGTAGCATTGCCCATTGCCTGACTCTGGGTCACCTGGCGGGGCCTGATGGAGCCAGGAGGTCCCCGTGGTGGTTTGTGGGGTTTGGGAACTGTGGGGGGGCCCGTGACTCTCAGCTTCAGCTGAGTAGTGACTGTTGTACCCTCAAGAGCAGGGAAGGGCTGGGGTGGGATGCCTGTGGTCAGCTGGGCCCTTAGTCCGCAGAGTCCTGTCCAGGCCTGAGATGTGCGCGGCGTACCGCGGGTCCGTCTGGGCCGCTGCAGGGCTGCTGGCTGGCTGTGCATTCCCCCGCCCTGTGCCAGGCTTGCCCACGCGTCTGCAGTGACTGCCCGCGGTTTTGCTGCCTGGGTCGCGACGGAGCTGCTTCCAGATAGTCCTGCCGGAGGCCCTGTAGTCTCTGGGGCTCAGAGTTGGGGCTCCGTGCTGGGGCTCAGAGGTGGCCTCCCAGGACCCCGGGAACCTTGTGGCTCCTGCGCGTTCCCCTGGGGGAAGTCCGCCCTTGGAGGGGGAGCAGAGGAGCTGGGAACAGGAACAGCAGCTAGTCGGGTGCCGCCTGGAGGCTTGGGGTGCTCGCTGTCCCCGACAGACGGGGGAGCCGCTGTGAAGGTGCCCCGAGTGTGCAGCTCAGAGAGCCCAGGGCCAGGGCCAGGGCGAGCCTGCTGTTCCTCGGTCGTGAAGATCTCTCCTAGCCGAGGACTTTCCGTAACTTCAGACTTGTGGGACGGAGCGAAATAGTGATCGGAGAAGCCAGGTTCTCTTTCCCCGCCAGCTCAGCGCTGCGGTCCCCCTGCGGCAGGTGCCCCTCCCATGCGGTGGGTGCCACTCGTGGGATGTAGCAGGGAGTGACGGGAGCCCCGGGAGCCTTCATGCGGACGCTTGGGTGTGTGCTCTCTTCTGAGACCTGGAGCCTTCTCTGAAGTCCGTGCAGCACGACGGACAAACGAGGGCGCAGGGCTGCCGGCTTCTCACTGCCAGTCCGTGGGGCAGAGTTCGGTGGTGTGTCTGGTCTTTTCTCCTTGGTGCCAGATTTTGGCATTTCCGTGAGGGGTGGAACCTGGACTGGCCCGACGAGTTCCTTCGTCCGTAGGTGGGCGGGGCTGGAGGACTGGGTTGCTTGGGAGGGTGCCTGCGTGCGGCCTTCTGTTTGGTGGGGGGCAGGCTAGATGGGCGCTGGTGTTTGTCTCAGTGAATCAGGTTTCGGTGCTTGAGAAGGCTGGGGGTGTCTGTGTCCTTCATGAATCTGCTTTTCCACGGCAAACCCGCTCCTTTCCTGTGGGTAAGGAGTGGGCAAGCTGGCAGCTCCTCGCGGCGCCAGCCAGCCCCGGGGCCTTCAGTCATCTGCTGCCTTCGCCTCCGCTGGGTGCCCGGCCCTGCGAGGGCGGGCGGGGCCTGAGGCCCAGCGTGCTGGGGCAGCGCCCTGGCTGGCCGCGGGGGGCCCCCTCTCCCCAGGGATTGTTTGCAGGCAGGGGGAAGCCTGGCCTGATTTTGAGGGGTGCGTGGGAGACACGAGTTTCAGCTAATAAGCCCCAAACGTAAGCTTCCGTCTGCTGCTTGATCAGCACGTTCTGGGAGCCCGTCCTCACAGAGCGGCCTTGCGGCCCGCACAGCCCCACGAGTGTGGCCTCGGCCGGGGGTACCTGTCCCACTCCTCCTCAGCCCGGTCCACTGTGCCGTGGCCTGTCTGTGGCCCTTGTGAGGATGGCCGTGGCTGTCTCTCCGGTGGTGGGGCCAGTGTTTCTCACACACTGAATTCAGAAGGCCCTGGGAGCGAGGCCCCAGCAGTCCTGCTGCCTGCGGGAGGCACCCTGCCAGGGGCTGGCACGCTGAAGCTCGAGTCTCCAGATGCAGCGGGGGTGGCAGGTGCGCTGGCTGCCTCGAAGGGGTCTGTCCCCGGGGTGGAGGACAGGCCCCCCTGTTCCTCGGCGGCCTGCGGGGGTCTTTTTGTCTTCAGGCTGAGTGTGGTGTGGTCGGCTCCAGACAAGGGGACCGCGGGACCCTAAGTCTCAGACGGGGACGGACCCTCGACCATGTGCTGGCGTCTGAAGCCCTTGCCGGTTAGCATCTGGGTCCCCCTCTGTGTGTGACAGTGCTCGTGGCCCCTTCCCCCACCTCTGCTGTCACGGCCACCTCCCAGGTTGTGGGTGGCCTGAGTGATGTGTGAGGGGCCTGTACCTATTGGAGACGCAGGTGAGCTTGGCCGCAGTGAGGGCTGGAATAGCCCCAGCGCATGGACCGTCTCCTTCCTATGCCGGTGCCTCGGTTCACTTCAGGCCCAGCCAGTCCAGGGGCGGGGGGCAGGTGGATGCTGCCCTGTGGCCTGTGGGTGTGGAGCCCCTCCCCAGGGGCAGGGGGGAGTGGAAGGGCTGTGCGTGTCTGGAGCTGCCCGAGAGGTGTCCTGTGCAGAAGAGAGGCGGGTTGGCAGCTGGGGCAACAGTGGGGTTCCTCTGGAAAGTTCTCGTGTGTCTGCCTGAAAGGACAGCCCCAGCTGCCCTGGGGTGGGAGATGTGGGACTGGGCTCTGGTGCCGAGTCTGGGGCTCCAGGGACCGTCCAGTGATTAGTGGGTCCTTACTTGTGACCACATGGAAGGTACCTGACACTTTACCCTAGAGCATCCCGTCCCCTGGTCAGTCTGTTTGTCGCAGGTGCCTTTAGACCTTGACTCCTAAGTCCACACGATTTGCAAGAGTGCTGGGGCAGTGTGCCCTGTGGACCCGCCCAGAGGCCCCTGTGGTTTGGGGGCTCCTGTTGGTCCATTTCACAAGGTCTCGTTTTCCCACTGGTTTGCCCAGCAAGCATGTGTGGCTCTGACATGTCGTTTTCTTATTTATTTATTTATTTTTATTTTTATTTTTTAAAGAGATTTATTTATTTATTTATTTATTTGAGAGAGAATGAGTGAGAGAGAGCATGAGAGAGGAGAAGGTCAGAGGGAGAAGTGGACTCCCCAAGGAGCTGGGAGCCCGATATGGGACTCGATCCTGGAAGTCCGGGATCATGACCTGAGATGAAGGCAGTCGCTCAACCAACTGAGCCCCCCAGGCGCCCTGACATGTCTTTGCTTATGTGTTGTAACACTCCCTCGCCACCATCTTGGCAAATCTTGGTGTCGGGTTTTGTGTCTGTGGCTGCCGAGGCTGAGCGATGGTTGAGGGGGGCATATGTCATTGCCGTGACCTTGACACAAGGCAGCATCTCTGCCCCACTTCGGCGGTGGGGGGTGGGCAGGAGTCCTGCCTTAGGGCAGATGGCCGGCACGGTGGAGGTGAGAACTGTTTTGACCCTGAGCGTTTTCTTGTTGAATTACAGGAAGCTCTTCGTGGGCGGTCTTGACTGGAGCACCACCCAAGGTAGGTGGCGTGGACGGCTGCGTGCCAGGCCCCGCAGACAGGCTGATGACCTTGGTCCTCAAGTCGTGTGAATGCGTCTCGCTGTTGATTTGGGGTTTTGCTTGTTTTCCTTGATTCTTGACTTACCGTTGTCTTGGATCCCAGGGGGTGGGGGGCACCTGACCCGGAGCCGTCCTCATGTGTCGGCGGAGTTGGGGGGGCTATGGAGGGCGGGGGACTGCTGCTGTGTGGGGCGTGGAGGCTTGGGGGCTTGCTGGCGCCGTCCCTGAGCTCAGGCTCAGGAGGAAGCAGCTTGTGGGAACTGGCACTCCCGGTGGTCACTGAGCAGTCCCTTACACTTCCCTTTTCCTGATGTCTTCGGCCGCTGCCGTGGTCATTTGCACCCGTTCTACTCCATGGGAAGACATGATGTGTCCGTGTCCGGAGCCCCGTCCTTTCCTGTGGGTCTCCTGTCCTGGACCGGCTTCCCCTTCCCCCTCCTCCCCAGTCATCTGCTGAGCCAGTCGACAAGGGGCTGGTTCCACACTTTCCAGGTCAGGCTGCAGAACTGGGAGCGTGTATGCCTGTGTGCTTGGCGCACCAGCGGGGGGCCAGTGCTTAACACTCCGGTGTGTGTGTTTGTGTTTTTGTCCCAATCTCCGAGCAGAGACTCTGCGCAGCTACTTTTCCCAATATGGAGAAGTTGTAGACTGTGTGATCATGAAAGATAAAACCACCAACCAGTCGCGAGGCTTTGGGTTTGTCAAATTTAAAGACCCAAACTGTGTGGGGACGGTGCTGGCCAGCAGACCACACACACTAGACGGCCGAAACGTAAGTGGCCCTCCCTGGAGTCCACTTCCCCCGTCCCTCCGCCCCTGCCACGTGCTGCCCCGTCAGCCAGCCTCTGCTGCTGGGCCTGGTGGGTGTGCCCGTGAGGGAGCGGGTTAGCAGGGCGGGCTCAGAGGGCTGGAGGGGGCAGTAGGGCCTGGATTTGGGGTGAAGTGACTGGGATCATGGGCTTGTTTGCTGTGCGGACGCCTCTTCTAGGGAAAGTGGCTTCGTAGTCACAGCTGACGCCTTTGAAACTTCTGCAGATTGACCCGAAGCCGTGCACGCCTCGAGGGATGCAGCCAGAGAGGACGCGGCCCAAGGAAGGATGGGTAAGGCTGGGCTGGGCAGGGCGGCGTCTGAACCCACCTGGGGTTCTGCCCGTGGCCCTCGAGGGCAGCGGGGCACTTTGCTGCTGGAGCGGCACACGGTCGCTTGACTCTATCCAGTGGGTGTGTGTTTTACTTTGTAGCCAAGAATATTCTTCCTAGTCTACCTTGGAAACAAGAAAAAGGCCTCCCACACCTGTTTGCGATCAGGAGTTCCATTTTCTCCTCCCTGGTGGCTCCCACCCTGCCCTGGGAGGGGGCAGTGTTAGCACAGCCCCTGGACTCCTGCTCCTTTCTGCTTGCTGGCCGCTCTCGTCTGGGCGCTGCGGCTCGGGGCCAGGGCCCAGTCGGCCGTGTCTGAGAGCCTGCTGCTTGGAACAGCTGGTCAGAAGCCACCGGTGTGGGGGCTCCGCAGGGCTCTCTGGGAGCTGTGTGGCCCCTGATGCTGGTTCTGTTGGAGCAGACCCTTCCTCTGTCCACCATCACCTGTCCCTCCCCTTCCCCAACCCAGTAGATCTCGGAGAAGACCGTCCTCCAGGACTCCATTGTCCCGGCAGAGGGGCCTGGCCACAGCTGGGCAGCAGGCAGGGCAGACGTCTGGTCGGCGTGTCTGGGCCAGGACCCGAGAACCTGCATTTCTAGCAAGATCCAACTGCTGCTGGAAGACAGGGACTTCAGACCCTTGAAATAGTTCTTATTTTCCCAATTTTCTATTGGGAAACTTTTTGGGAAGTTTGGAAAAATCACAAAGTAGTACATCAAACACCTTACCACATGGCCAAGACCCATCAATTGTTAACATTTTCCCAGTCATCTCTGTTCTGTCCCATCTCTGTCTGGGTCTCTCACTCCTGAGTGCTGGAGCAGGTATCTCCTGAAACCACGTGCTCACACAGGAGTGTGGGCCGCGGCTCCCAGCGCCTGCTGTGTCCACATGGGGGCCCTTGTGGCTCTGGGGTCATTCTCAGCGGCTTCCATGGCTCTGCTCTTCAGACTGGAATCACGGCCGCATTCAGATTCTCTTTGGTTCCTCATGTCCTTGAGTCTCTTGGCAGCCTTGCCGAGACGAAGCAGACACTTGATGGAGTTCGAGCCCTAAGTGCACCTGGAGACCCTCGCCTGCCCCAGACTCCCTTGGCGTTGGTCCAGGGCCGTTGGGACTACTGTGCCTGGGTGCCCTAGACAGGAAAAACGGTGCGAGGGGTTGGGGGAGGCGGCGTTCTGGGAGCAGGAGCCAAGGTTCTGGGCCTCCTCTATCCACAAGGGACGAGCTCGGGCAAGTGTTCGCCTCCAAGGTGCGAGGCCCTCCCTGCAGAGGGTGGGGTCACCGGGGTCAGGCGAGGTGCGGGGAACCACCCGTCGTCCTCTTCAGTTAGCCCCAGAAAACTGCTGGTCTCCATCGTGCCAGCCACCCCGCTCAGCCCTTCCTCGGGGACGGTAGAGCTTCCTGCTCTTGCTGTTGTGACTTGGAACTCGCCACGGGACCCGCCACTCGCTCTGCCGCAGGTCTCAGAGGAAGGCGGAAGAAGGGTTAGGACAGTTCGCTGATCCTCTTTGGCTGGTTTTTGGAGGGCTTCGGTCTGGCTTTGGGCGGGGTCTGAAGACCAGTGCGACGCGCGCCACGGCCTCACCATGGGGAGCGTCATGAGGTTTCCCCACACCGACTAACGATCGTTTCCTTCTTAAAACAGCAGAAAGGACCCAGGAGCGATAACAGTAAATCAAATAAAATATTTGTCGGTGGGATTCCTCACAATTGTGGTGAGACAGAGCTCAGGGAATACTTCAAGAAATTTGGAGTGGTGAGTTGTCCCTGCCCCAGAGCATGGCGGGTCCGGGCGGGAGCGGTGGAGCCCGGTGTCCCTGGAGGTGGAACCTGGCAGCTCTGTCCTCTGGGCCTGTGTCTCCCCCAGAACAAGCCAGAGCCCGGGGGAGCATTTACTGCTTTTTCAGGCCAATGGAAGCTTGCCAGGCCGATCTGGAAGGCCCTCTCATAGGTTGTGAGCGTCATGGTGGGGCGCGCTCGGTAGCGTCAGGGAGAAGCAGGGTTTGGCCCGACTGTGGGAACCAGTCTGCCGTGTTTTGTGGGGTGGGGGCGCACGGGTGGGAAGGTGAGGAGTCTCCTAGCCCAGGACCGGCGGCCTAAAGGGAGCCGGCCTGGCACTCCCTGGCTAGGTGTCTGTCACCTGAGCAGCGCTGCCTCAGCGGCGGCGGACCTCCTCCCAGGGCTGGTTGTTTCTGGAAGAGGCTGAGATCGTTCAGAATCTTACGGGGTTTAGAGTTAACTGGGCTCCTCCAGGAGACTCAGTTCTAGTAGGGCAGGCAGAAGACGGGGCTAGCAAGCAGGCTCGTGCGGGGGTCGTCCAGTCAGCTGAGGCAAAGGCACAGGGTCTCCCCAGGCTCCCACTGGGCCACACCCCCGATGGTGGGACAGCCCTATTGCGTCACTGCCACTTGCTTGTCAGGGGTGGTGCCCGAGTATGCTGAGGACCTGGGCCGGAGCATGTGCCAAAGGGCGCTCGGTGAGCCAGGGGCCCCGGGGAGAGGGCTGCTGGCTGGGCGGACCCCTGTTGGGGAGTGCCCAGCCGAGTGCTGGGCAGCGGGATGGTCTCAGAACGTGCGGCCGAGCACCACAGCTCTGGGTCCTGTCCCGCCATCCAGGCCTTGGTTTTTGTCTGAGAATGGAAGGGCGCCCTGTGGTCCTGCGGCTGGAGCGTGGGGCCGGGGCCTTGGGTGTCCACGTGCCTCCCCATGAGCACTCGGGGCACAAGCAGCCTCCTTCGGGTCCCCTGGCCTCCCCTTGGCTCCTTGGCCTCCTTCGGGTCCCCTGAGTCTCAGGCATCAAACCCCAGGAGTCCGGCCTCTTGTCTTGGGGCCTCCCTGGGGAACATCTGGAGATGTCCCCAGCGGTCCTTTGCTTCGGGAGTCTTGTGGCAGCCGGATGTGCTCGTGCCTGCCCGTGGCGCCCGGGTTCTCGAACACCCGTCTCTCTTGCAGGTCACAGAAGTGGTTATGATCTACGACGCAGAGAAGCAGAGGCCTCGAGGTAAAAGAGATGGAGTTTGTCCTTGACCTTCCCCTTCAGATGGCAAACTATTTCACAATTAGGTGGTGGTGGTAGCGAGCTTGCCACAGAGAAGGGTGATTCGGAGACACGACTCAAACGTAGGCCCTTCCTGTGCAGCCCCAGCCTGTCTGCTTGCCAAGGTCAGACGTCCCCGGGTTTTTTTGGCTCGTCCTTTTGAAGTTTTTGCAAGCTGACGTGAATTTCAGTATGGCTTCTGTTTTTAAACGCGCACTGAGAGGTTGCTGCGTTTCTCAGATGGTGCCCTTGACACTCCGGGCCGCGTCCCACTTGGAGCCCTGCCCAGGCAGGTCTCATTCCGCGGCGTCAGGCTAGGTCTGCCCCAGCTCGGCTTGAACGTGGACTTTCTTATCCATCCCATGCTTTTTTCCTGTTTTTCTTGTTTCTTGTTCCCCTAAGACCGTGGGCAGCGGGAGGAGAGTGAGGAGCCGCCTCAGGCGTCCCTGGGAGCTTCCGGGAGCTGCCCGCGCCCGCACGTCCCAGCTGGTTTGTGGGGCTGGGACAGCAGGCACCCGATTTTCGTGCCCTTTTTTATTATTATTGTTTATTACTACTATTTTTGCAATTTTATTTTTGGGGCTGCTGCTGCTTGTGCCCGCCCGTCTGTTTGGGTTCATCCGCCGCTTGGGGACCGGCTGCGCGAGCCGGCCTGGCGTCCGGGCGCCGCGCAGCCTCTGCCCCAGCCCCGTCGGAGGCCCCCGCGCGCGCAGAGCCGGCGCCGCCGCCGCGTGCGCCCGCCATGCTGGAGAATAGTTTGCCATTTGAACTTCATCCTTCTCTCCCTCCATGATAAGTGACGTATCTGCACTCCATGTCGATTAAGCTGTTAAGTCTTAGCTTAACTTTAACGTAGACATACATGCTTAGTGACGTACTTAAGTGTCTCGTAGTAAAGTACAGTAACGTTAAGTAAGTTGTTTTTCCTTTTCTCTCTGTGAATTGTTTGTGATTAACGATATCTCTTTAGATTTCTCTTCTCCAGGTGCTAAATTATGTCACACAGGTACAGGCCAGTCCCGCAGTCAGAGGACGGAGCGGGCTTCGCTCCAGTGGGGTGTAAACGAAGTTTCAGTGTGTTTCTGGCCGCTCCCTCAGTGGTGATGTCGTCTCTTGACAGACAGATGCGTCCCTAGACGCCCCGCCCCGGGGCTCCCCACCCGAGACTCACCGCCTCTCGCGCTGTAACGGACCGCGCGAGCCCTGCGGCTGCAGACACTCACTCCTGCACTTGGAGAAAATGTTAACTTTCTAACGTGCCGTTCATTACCCATGTCGTGTTCCACCATTCGCCTCCGGTCTCGTGAAACTTCAGGGCGTGGGGGTCCTGAGGGCTGCTCTTAGACTCACACTCCCCCCAGTCGGCGCCCTGAGGCCTCGCCCTGGGCCCGGGGAGCACGCCGAGCCGCTGTGGGCTGGGGGTGCAGACAGGAGGAGCTGGCGGGGAGAGCGCTTTGGGCTTGACCTTGGGGCCCACGTTCCTGTGGGAGCTCACAATGTCCTCCACATCGGGCTCTGAGGGTCCCTGCGAACACGAGGCCAGCAGTGGGGGGAGTGATGGCAGGAACCCCCCGTGGGCTAGAGGGGCGTCCCAGAGAGGTCATCCTGCTTTCTCCCCTTCCCAGGTCTTTTCCAGGCCTCTGCCTCCCTCCTCCCTCTCGGCTGACCTGAGACAGTGTCCCTGTCCTTGTCCCGAGGGTTCTGCGTGTGTCTTGCTGGGGACAGTGAAGCCCTCACCTCGCCCCTCACCCTGGCCACTGCCTTTGCTTACCTCCCACCTTCCTCTCTGGCAACCACCCCCACCCCGGCTCCCGCTACTGTCTCCTTCCGTGTGTCTTGCCATCATCGTTCCGCAGCCGTGACTCCACCCCTGTCCTCACGCCGTGTGCAGATTCTCGTGTGGGCACGTGCGTAGTCACGCTCAGACACACGGCGCGTGCAGGGACACGTCATGCCTCCAGAGTCCTGGGTGTCCCTCCCTGCTAGTCTGGCATCCCCTGGTTTCTGAGCTGTCTCTTCCCCCCCGCCCCATGTTGTGCCTGCAGCCCCCCCCTCCCCCGCCACAGCCTGGTGGCTGCAGCCCCAGCGTCCCTGTCCCGCAGCTGAGAGGCCTCGGGCTTGGCCGCCCCTTCCCAATCGATGCCCCATCCCTGCCCGCTCCGGCCCCGCAGCCCTTGGAGGCCCTGGCGGGCGCAGGCCCAGCCCAGGCTCCGGCCGTTGGCCGGGGAGGGTCCGCTGTGCCGCCCCCGCCAGCACCCCGTGCCCCCTTTGGCCCTTCCCCGCAGCCGCCCTCGTCCCCGGCTCTGCCGGCAGCTGCCTGCCGCGCGCCACCTCATGCTTAGTCAGTCGGGCCCCGGGGAGACAGTGCAGCGGACTGAGGACCAGACACGCCACGTAGCCGGGCGGCCACTCTCACCCGGACCGACCAAACTTCGTTTATACTGCCACTTCCTTGTGTTTGGGAAACGCTAAATTTTTTTCCCTTGAAAATTCTCTTTCTGACGACATAGTGCCTCTTGCTCTCGCTGCTGCCAGCAGAGTTTGACCTGCTGGAACCCGTTGTGGCCTGTATCTCTGTGTACCTTGTGCGTAGGTCCGTGAGGTAGACACCTGTATGCATACGTGTGTGACTCGGACGGGACTCCTTGGGCTTATCCAACGGCGTTGGCTAAGCTTAGTGAGGCACGAACTGTAGACACCGCAGTCTGGTCGGCGCGCTAGAACCATGAATACGGCTGCCGTCAGACCTAGTCGCAAAGCGAATTGCAAGCCGAGGGGGAGACTCTCGGGTTTCAGAAAAGCAGCCGCGCACCCACGGCACATACCTCATCTCACGGAGGCGGAGCTCGCGGCTGCTGCCCTGCGCGCAGGGGTGCGCCGCGGCCCCCTCCAGAGCGCTCTGGCGGCTCCACGCACCAGGCCTCTCTCCTGCCCGGGCTGCGCCTCCCTCAGAGGCCAGCCCCCCCCGGTTCCCAGCGTGTCTCCACGGGGAGCCCCTGGCTCCACCGCAGGCTCGGGCCCCGCCCTGCAGCCGCACACACTTGCTTCCCTGAAACCCTTGGGCGCCCCCTCGGCCCGGCCCTGATACTGTTCATCACCCTGTTTTGTGTCACAACGCCCTGCTACCTTGATTCACTCTTCGTCGTTGGCTAGGTTTTGGATTTATTACTTTCGAGGACGAACAATCAGTGGACCAGGCTGTCAACATGCATTTTCACGACATCATGGGCAAAAAAGTGTGTAGTTGTAGTTTTATTTTACCTTAAGACCAAACCAAGTTTTAGGCAACTTAGGGATTTCACTGGAAAATACAATTCCTGAGCAGAAAAAGGGCCTGGGACATAGGGCTAGGTGGGCTCGGGCCCTGCTCCTGCGGAAGCACGGGGGCCCCGTCCTGCCCGAGGGCTCCTGCCTGTGGCGTGGCGTCTCCCGTCCCGCCGGCGCTGCTCCCGGAGCCCCTCGCTCTGGATCCACTGGGACTGGTTTGGGGGGGGGTGGCGGTGGCCCCCCAGCCGAGGGGCACGGTCTGCGGGGGCCCCCTGGGCTGGCCTCCAGTGAAATTGCAGGTTGCCTCAGGCTTGGTTTCAGTGACCACTCCTTCAGATGTCTGTCCCACATTCCAATTGCCTGCCACCCCGTGCCGTGCGGTGGCCAGTGGACCTGTGACAACAGGGTCCATGTCAAACTGAAAGAGACGTAAACATCCTGAAGGATTGGTTTTCCTTTACTTGGGTCACTTACTGTGGAACTCCGGCCGCAGCCACATGCTCTCGGTAGTACTTAACTCCGTGCGGTCAAGTGACCTCTGGTTTCATCTTCATACTGTGTTGCTGCCGCGGCGGCGGGCAGGCTCAGCCCACGCCCGCTCCTCCTCTCCCAGGGCCCCCGGGGCTCGGGGGGAGTCCCCTCTAAAACAGATCGCTGGGAGAGGGCCTGCAATGTGGGGTCTCTGAGAGTTAGCGAGAGGCTTCGGGCCCCTGTTTGTGCAGGATTCCTGTCTCTGCCCTTGTACAGCCCCCCCCCCCCCCACCCCAGCGGTCCCCACGGTCGCCTCGCAGGGCGGCAGGCATTTCCTTATTCCCGCCGCCCTGCCCCGCCCCTGGGACGAGAGTCGGCCCATTTTTGTCGTTACGGTCCTGTGGAGGGACTGAGGCACCACGAGCTTCCTGCCTCTCTGGTGCTCCCGGCCCAGCCCCACAGCCCGCTCTCTGCATGCGGTAAACAAGGCCGCGTGGAGCTATTTTTACATAGAGGTGCCTGAGGTTTGGTTGCAGGCTTAATTCCGTTTGAACCTGATTAAGTAGCACACACAAATCTCGCTCCCACGCTCATTGAAGCTTTTAGTTTAAAATTAGCGGGCAGGTTTCAGGGACGCATGCTAGTTACGAACACTGGTTCAAAGGAGTCCACGGTCAGTACTTCAAGGTACTGTGACACTGAAAACTTGGAGGAGGCCTGGTCCTGCTCTAGGGGCAGAAAGGCTGCTAAGCACACGGACCTACTTCCATCTCCAGGCGGCCGGCCCCACCCCGGTTTTGTAGGACGCATCGGTGTCTGAGTCTGGTCCGCACGGAGCACAGAGTGGGGACTGAGATGGCTCCTCAGTGTGGGGCTCAGCTTCTAAAGTAAGGCGCACACGCGAGAGAACCTGGCCTCCGGCAGCAGCCCCCGGCCTCGCCCTCTTCCCGATGCCTGACCTTCACTGGCGGGCGAGGCATGTCAGCCCCTTGGGTCCTCGGTGGGGTTCACCTCCCTAAAGGGCCTGGTCCCACTTCTCATTAAAACCAGAGTGCCAGTGGCTGCATCCATGTCCTGATAGGAAGAGGGTAAGAATTAGTGGGGGGAAACGTGCAAGGGCTGCCTTGCTTTTGCTTTGTAAGCGGAAACCAGATTCCCTTAAGGAGAGTATGTGGACTCGTTCGTTGGAGTTCTTTGAGGGCTCCTTGGTCCTGCTGCCACGTGGCCTTGAGCTAAGGGGGATCTTGTTCCTGTCCATGGGGTGTCCTTGGGGCATCAGGAAGGTGGGGTCTTTGTGCCTCTGTCCCACCTCCTGTTTGTTCTCCAGCAGGAAGGGGCCCCGAGTAGAACTGTTGGAATTTGGAATACATAATGCTTAGCGCACCAGCCTGTGAGACCCCAAGGATGACTCCGAGTGGATTTACTGTCTCTTCCTTCTCGTTAAAATTTATCACTAAAGAAAAAAAATTGGAGATGCAGATGCTGAGGCAGCCTTGTAATTGGGGGACCTCGGACTGTCAATCTGCCCGCATCTAAACCCTGCGGTGGGTGGGGGGCTGCTGCTGGGGGCCACAGCACTCAGTGCCAGTGGGGAGCGCTCACTCACTCCCGCTGCGCCCGTCCCCGGGGCTGCGGCTCCTGACAGCGTCCAAAAGAGGAAGGGTCCAGGGCTGCCGACCTAACACAGTATGAAGATTGCTTACTGATTCAAATGTCCATTTTATTGCATGTTTGTTTACTTTTTTTGTTAGATGTAATGTAAGATTCTCTTTATCACATCCATTCCCTCTGACATTATTTTGAGTTAATTGAGATTCTTTAAGCGTTAGCCTGGGGAAGGTAAGTCTTTATCTTCCATTAGACATTTTAAATAAAAAACCTAAGTAAACCAACTGTGTTTCTCAGGTATGAGCTTAAAGCCCAGGCAGGGTGGGGGGACTCTGGAGGGGCCCGTGAGTCAGTCGTCCTGGCTCCTCCCAGCCGAGGTCCATCCTCCCCTACGGAGCTCGGATAGTGTCCGGCTCCGGCCACTCTGGGGCCCTGGAGAGACCTGGGAAGAGGCTGTGATGGTTCGGTCCGTCCTGGGCTCTGTGTCCCTGGGGTGATGAGGCCATCGAAGGAGAAAGTTGTCCTTCCACCTTGACTGAAAGACCCTTGTCCCACAAAGCTCTTGAGGGTCCTTGGCCTTCAGCCCATGCTCTGCAGCGGGCAGGGCTTACACGGCTTACGGTTGCACCTGTTGTACCTGAGAAACATGTTTTAAGCAAAAAAGAAAAGAGAAAAAAAAAAACTATAAATTTTTAAAGAAAAAAATACTGGCCTAAATAAGGTTTATAGTTAAGTATTTAGTTTTAAGTCATAAGATGCTAAGTGTAGTCGTAAGTTATTTGAGGGTGTGTCTGAAGGGAAGGGGGTCCAGGACCCTTGGCATCTCCCTAAACCAGAGCTTCATTTGTCTAGGTGGAAGTTAAACGGGCTGAGCCACGGGACAGCAAAAGCCAAGCGCCGGGACAGCCAGGTGCCAGCCAGTGGGGCAGTCGGGTCGTGCCCAGTGCTGCCAATGGCTGGGCAGGCCAGCCCCCACCCACGTGGCAGCAAGGATACGGCCCGCAAGGTAAGGCTCCGGCACCTAGACCGGGTCCTGCCCCCAGGCAGCCCCTTCAGGAAGACCTGCGTGCAGGCCAGGGTCCTGAGCCGGAGGCGTAGCAGACTCACCGCAGAGGGGGGACGAGCCGACTGGACAGGCGCACAAGCCTCTGACGGACAGATGAAGGCAGTGGCGGGGCCCCTCCCTGTCTGGCCCCAGGGCCGCTGCACAGAGCTCCGTGCTGGGTACCTGTTACCACCCAGACCTTCCGGCAAGCCCCAGAGGGACACTGTCCAGCCTGCTCACAGATGAGGAAGGGGCCAGTTTCTGTGTCCTCACCTCCACCTTGAGCGTGCTGTGACCCTTGGCGGTGTGCTTGGGTCACAGCCAGTTTCCCCACCTGTGGTTTGGGCAGATGGCTTTCTCTTCCTGTGACCCGCTGGGCTGGGTGAGTGTCTTTGCCTCACAGGCCATGCCATGGAGGAGGGCCGCACAGGTCTGAGGGGGCAGTGAGAGGCCCTGGTGGCTCAGGGAATCCATCCCTGCCACCTTCGCCCCCAGCAGCTGCCGCACTACGGCAGCCGTCTCTTCCCCTGACAGTGAGCCGGTGGCAAACTGTTCTCAGTGAGGATAGAGTGGGAGGTGGGCCTGGCCTGGCCATCTCAGAGGCTCAGAAGATGCTTTGAGGGAGACTGAGGCTTTGGCCTGGCTGGAAGCAAGCACAGGGTCCCGCCTCTTGGACCCTCTGAATCTTCTCCTGCTCCCTGGGCTCTGGGCCGAAGCTAGCTGGGCCGTCAGGGCCTCTGTGAAGGGTCAGCAGGATGGTTTAAGGTCAGCCTGGCAGAAGAGCTGAGGTTCCCAGGGCCCCCAGGACAGGATCTGATAGCCTCTGCCTCCTTTAGAAACAGTGTCCAGGGAGGAGCCAAAGAAGGCTAGGGCTGTGTGTCCGCACCCATGGGCACCTGGCCCGCCCCCAACCCTGCACCAGCCAAAGCTTACAGATTGTCTTTTTAAAAACTTTTTTTTTTCCCCCCAAAATAAAACAGCCAGGGGTGCCTGAGTGGCTCAGTCGGTTAAGTGTCTGCCTTCAGCTCAGGTCATGATCCTGGGGCCGTGGAATCGAGTCCCACGTTGGGCTCCCTGCTCAGCGGGAAGCCTGCTTCTCCCTCTGCCTCTGACGCTCCCCCTGCTTGTGCTCAATTGCTATCAAATAAAGTCTTTGTTGGTGGGGGAAACCCAGATACAGCCATAGGAGATCAGTCACTGAGACCAGAAGCTCTTGCCCACTAGCACTCGGCTGGTAGCCGGCCCGGGGCTCCCACCACCCAGCCTGAGGTCCCATCCGTGCTTCTGGGCCCCTCGTCTGTGGGTGTTCCCTTCACCCTTTCTGACGGGCTCTGTTGAAGAGCTGGGGCCGCCTGACCGACAGGGCTGTTCGGGAGAGGCTTCCCTTGGAGAAGTGGAATGCGAGTGGCAGCCCTTTGCCAGGTGTCTCCTCGGATACCTTCCTCGAGGCTGGGACGTCCTCCTGTGCCCGCAGTACGGCAGGATGCCGGGCCCTGGAGGGTGTTTCCGAGAGGGCTTTGCCAGCAGAGCGAGTGCCGCTGGGGGTGGGTCAGCTGCTCATCTGGGTCGTGGACAGGACACCCACCACCCTCTTTGTTTTCCTGTTTAGGAATGTGGGTTCCAGCAGGACAGGCAATTGGTAAGTCCTTATCTGTGGGCCCCAGAGAGAACGGAATCTGCAGCGGGGTGGGCCCCCCGGGGGGCCTGGGCGGCGGGAGCTGTGCGCCTTGCCCTTCCCCTCACTCCCTTCTGCGTCCTGTGTTCCAGGTGGCTACGGACCGCCGCCCGCAGGGAGAGGAGCGCCCCCGCCGCCCCCACCATTCACCTCGTACATCGTGTCCACCCCTCCCGGAGGGTTCCCCCCTCCTCAGGGCTTCCCACAGGGCTATGGTGCCCCCCCACAGTTCAGTAAGTTCTGTGGGCCCCTGGAGCCGGGCTGGGGGCCCCCCAAGAGATGCACCCCTGCAGCCTATGCCTGGCACTTGCTTGGGGCACGCGGCTGGGCTGCTGCCTGTCCTGGTCCCTTTGCTCGGAGGGTCGTGTGGGTGGCACAGCGGTCGCGAGAGGGAAGTGTGCCCCCTTGCTGGGGCATCTGGACCTGATGTTGTGACTCCTCAGAGAGGGGCTTGAGCGTCAGGAGCTCTGGTCTGTGCTCAGCTCCATGCTGGGGCACCCACCTGGCGGCTGGGTCCTCGGCCGTGACGGGAAGCCCTCGCCTGTGCACCGTGGCCGGTGGCTGTACTGCCGTGTGCCGCACGGCCGGCCTTACTGGTCCCACAGTCTTGCTGGGGAGGGCTTAGGAGTGCGGGTTCTGTCAGAGTGTGCCCTGGCTTGGGTCAGGCCACAGGATGGCCATGTGGGCCCTCATGGCAGAGGTGTGTGTCTCGCTGGCCTGAACCGTGTCTGGTTCTAACCAGAAGGCGGGTGGATAGAAATGGGCTGTGGAGCCGCGGGACGGAGTGGGAGGCTGTGTGGAGCCGGCGCTGTGTCTGGCAGGTGGGTTTTGTCCTTTTCACACCACTGCCCGTGGGGTCCCTGCCTAACACTGGCTATTGGGGGCTCGACAGGCCGCCCCAGGCCCACCCTAGGGACATCCTCAAGGCCCGGCCGCTCAGTGGGTCTCGGCAGGAAGTAGTGTGGGCAGCTGCGATAGGCTGGGCTGTGTCTGTGTCTGTCTCTCCTGTTCACAGGCTTCGGCTACGGGCCTCCACCTCCCCCACCGGATCAGTTCGCCCCGCCAGGGGTCCCTCCTCCACCTGCTACTCCAGGGGCAGCACCTCTGGCTTTCCCTCCGCCTCCGTCTCAGGCCGCCCCAGACATGAGCAAGCCTCCAACGGCCCAACCGGACTTCCCCTATAGTCAGTACGGTGAGTAGGAGACCTGCAGGTGAGGCCTGGGGCCCCGGGGCCTGGCCCCGCCCCCTCTGGCCTTCCTCCCCCGACCCCCGCTCCCCCCACCTCCGGCCTTCCTCCCTGCCAGTGTGAATGTCGCTGGGGCCCCGCTCGGCAGGGGCTTGTCATGCAGGGCCAAGCAGAGTGAACTCGAGCAGGTTTTGGTTTCTCGGGTTTTGGCTAGGGAACTAGCCTTAGAAAAACACTGATCGTGCAGCCGGTGTTCCAGGGCCCGTGGGTTTAGGAACCCGAAGCTGTGACAGGGCCCCTAGGAGGATGGCACAGGGCCTCTCGGGGCACCCCCTGTTCCTTGGTTGTCTTGTTTTCTTCCGAGTGCAGAGTGCGGGGCGGGCACCTGTGGGCCCCCTGGGTTCGTGGCTCTGGTGGGCGGCAGGCACTGCCTGGGCTGTTACTGTGGGCCTCACCTGAGCGAGCGGCTCGTCACGGAGGAGGTGCTTCTGAGCCCGGGGTGTATAGGGTGGCGACCTATGGCCTGTGTGGGAGGAGCTCACGTGAGGACAGGGTTGGGCCAGGTGTCCCGGGTCTCCTGCCACCTCTGCTGGGCCACATGGGTGGGACTGCCTGTCGCCAGGCCTCCCAGGGCTCCTACAGGAGCCACAGCCTTAGCCCACGGTTCCCCGTCTGGGGCTCTGCCTGTGCCACGTCATCGCTCAGACTGTTTGGCCCTAGGCTGCAGTGTCTGCAGGTTGGATGTAGTCCCCGGCTGGCCGCTCCCGGCTGCCCAGCATCGTGCAGTCTTGTCCCCCTGGCACTGTGGCTGGCCATGGTCCCCAAGCAACTTGGTCGTCTCCTGTCTGCCCACCCCGCCCCACCCCCGCCCCCCACCCCCGGAGCAGGATGTGTTGGGCGTGAGCAGCCCTGGGTGGGGGTGTGCCGCCCGCCAGCGTGGCCCCGCCCCTCTGCTGAGGCTGCCCTGGGGTAGTCACCCTGGTCTCGTCTCTTGCCAGGCCTGGGTACCTATTCTCCAGACCCGTCGGGCTTCGGGCCCATACTTTGTTTACACTCTTATGGTCAGGCTGAGCAGTGATGTGGCCTAGGTAGGTGGCACCTCCTCCTCCACGGCCCCCACTCGGCCTGCACCCAGGCAGCGGCCGCCCCGGGTGGGGGTGGACTCGGCGGTGCCCTCGGGATGGGGCCCTTGCCGGGGCGAGGCTCTTGACTGGCCACAGCCCCACGGCCCCAGGCACCCCGTGCCTTCGCACACCCTCTGCTGGGACACTGGGACCCCGGGGCCCCAGGACACCTGCATCCCGGTGTGCAGTCTGGTGCTGGCCCCCTTTCCAGAAGCGCCTCCCGTGCCTTTTGAGGTCAGCAGTGCAGGGTCTAGGTCCTGTTTGGGGGGGGGGGGGGGACCTGCCCGGCCCTGGCAGTCTCCACCCGCATGTTCCCCGCGGGGCACTCCTGCCCAGCGTCGGGCACTCTGCTCGCCCCCGCCGGTTCTGCCGGCACTGCCGGCTCGGGTCAACTGCAGGGAGGACTGTCTCGGGTCTGGCGGGGGATGGGGGAGGCCTGGCGCTAGTCTGACATTTTCTTAGATTCTGGGGGCTGTGTCCGTTTCCCGTGCATTCCACTCAAAAATAAACTTCCTGCAAGCCCTCCGGCCCCTGAGCCAGGCCAAGCGCTCTTCTGTCTCCAAGCTCAGGTTTGCAGGGGCTCAGATGGGCCGCCAGGGCCCAGCCCGCGGGTCCTTGGGAACAGGTGGGGAGGCGAGGCCGGAGACGGATGGGACAGACCAGGGGGTCCTCGGGTTCTCTGAGCTGCTTTTCCTTCTGTGCGGAGACTGGTCGGGGTCCTGTGGGGGAGCAGGATGGGCTGTGCAGGTGTGGACCCCTCCTCAGCCATGGGCTCAGAGCTGCCATCCAGCCCCGGCTCACCAGGCTTTTTCCCTGCAGGTTACGGACAGGACTTGGCTGGCTTCGGACAGGGCTTCTCAGACCCCAGCCAGCAGCCCCCCTCCTACGGGGGCCCCTCGGTGCCAGGCTCGGGGGGGCCCCCCGCCGGCGGCAGTGGCTTTGGACGAGGTCAGAACCACAACGTGCAAGGGTTCCACCCGTACCGACGCTAGCTGGCCGGCACCTTGCGGACGTCAGGGCGGCTGAGACCCAGGATTTAGAACTTGTGAACTCGTGACAATCACAAACTTGGCAGAAAAATAGCGACTCGATGGTGGGGGGAGGGGGGCGAGAGGCTTTTGGAGGCGGCGGTGGGTGTCTGGACTGAAGTTTTTAAATATATTTCTTTCTCTAACCCATCAGCACAATAAAAAAAAGTCACTGGTTCAACAACAGGGTTTAAAAAAAAAGTCTTCAGCTTTAATTCAAAACTTCAGGTTTCTTTTTCTTCCTTTTTTTTTTTGAAATTATTTTCCTGAGCCTTTTGTTTTACCGTATATTGTAAACTTTTATGTTAAAGAAAAAATATACATTTACAAATTGTGAGATTTTTAAGAGAAATTTTCTACGATGTATACTGGCTTATTTTTTAATTTAAAAAGCAGGGTTTCCGTCGGCACTGGTGGTGGTGAGGGGCGTTCTCAGCCCCTCCCTCCGGGCTTTGAGGGTTGGGGCTCGTTGGTCCAGAAACTCTGGGAGCTTACAGAAGTCTACTGAGCGCGTTTTGTTTTTTTGTTTCTTCCTTGCTTTTGTCGACTGGCCTGCGGGCACCGTTGGCCGGTGCGCTGTGGGGGCCGCGCCCGCCCAGCCTCTGCAGGCGCCCACCCCGCGCCCGCCCCTGCACCAGGGACAGGGAGGCCTTGTCAGCCGCTCTCACGCGCACGTGGTGTCAGGGCGTCCCCACTGACCAGTTGGACCCTGGTTTGAATAAAGACAAGTGCGTTTGGATTAGAAACCCACGTTGTGTCCTTTTGTTCCCTCCCTGCTCTCGGCTATGCGTCCCCGCGGGAGGACCTGCACTGGGCCTCGGCCTCGGCCTCGGCCGTGGTCTCAGGCATGTGCGGCCCGCTCGAGTGGGGAGCCCGGGGCCCGATCTCAGGCGCCCAGGGTCTCGGTCTCGTGGCCGGTGTGGATTTAGGATGGCCTAGGGCTGCAGATGCAGTGTGAAGGGGGGCCCGGGTTCCCGGGCTCAGTGGCCGCTTGCTAGGTGCCAGGAGAAGGGTGCCTGGACAGATCTGGGTGGGGACTGGCCAGGCCTCCCCTGTCCCATGGAAGTGACACCTGGATTGTGGCCTTGGGTAGGCCACTCGCCTTTACACAAACCGGGCTTTGACGTGGACGGTTTTGGGTGTCGGGACACCCAGTTGAGGGCCGTCAGGACGCAGCACAAGGGCCTGAGCCCCTAGAGCTGAAGGTGGACGCCTAGGGGCACCTGGTGGGGCCTGGCCATCCTAGCTAGAGCCTGGGGGCAGGCGGTGGGTGGGACAAGCTCCAGCATCCCACAGCAGCCACCACCCTGCCTATACAAGGGCCTGGCTGGCAAAGTGTCCGCCCTGCCTTTCCAGCCATGTTCTGGATGTTCTGTTCCCGTCCCAATCTCCCAACTGCCCCTCTCCCCAGACAGAAGGGGCTGTGACTGTCAGCGACGAGGGAGGGGAGTCAGAGTTCACTTGCACACAGGACTTTGGCTCTGCACTGGCCTTTCTGTGAGAGTGGGAGGGACTTGGGCGCTTTGGGGAGGCTGCTCTGGGAATCAGCAAGGAACAAAATGGGTGAAGCTTCCCTTCTAGTGTGTGGGGGCCTGAGGGCCACTGCTACAGCCCACCACCAGCTTAGGGTTTAAACCACTTACTGATTCTCTGATGGTTCGGGGCTAGAAGTCCTAAAAGGCCGGTGCTGGCGGGGCTGGTCTCCTGGGCCCCAGGAAGACCCGGCTCCTGCCTTTTCCTGGCCCATGGACCCCTCCATCCTCCCTGCCAGCAGCACGGGGTCTGCCCATCTCCGGGACCCCCGCCCTCTGCCTCCCTCTCGTTGAGGACCTGGTGAGGACGCTGGGTCCCCCGGGAATCCAGGGTCACCCCCAGCTCTGGGCCCTGACAAGTTCCCCTCTACTGTGGGAGGAGACACGTCCCAGATCCCAGTCTTTAGAGGCCATTATTATTCTAAAGACCACTGTCAAGAATTAAAAAAAAAATTTTTTTTTTAATTTTATTTATTTGCTAGAGAGAGACCGTGACCGAAATAGCAACAGAGCACAAGCAAGGGGAGAGGGAGAGGGAGAAGCAGGCTCCCTGCTGAGTAGGGAGCCCAACGTGGGGCTCCATTCCAGGGGTCCTGGGATCATGACCTGAGCTAAAGGCAGATGCTGAAAGACTTGAGCCCCCCAGGGACCCCCCTTAGCTCCTTTCTTTTGTGAAATTCATCCTCTGCAAAGGTAAGTTTCCCTGGCAAAAGGGCATCATGCAAACCGTGCAGGGATTTCCAGCTCCGGGAACACACCTTGCTCTGGTGAGTGTGGGCACGCCCCCTCCTGTCCCGAAGGGCACACCCTCAGGTCCCCAAACCTGTGCTTGTGCTCCACAGGGGACAGGAAGGGACGTCCCCTAATTTGGTAGTTGAAGGGGCTCTACCCACAGGGTTGTGGAAATGGCTGAGGAGGCCCAGCTTCCTTCCAGGCTTCCTGTTCCCGCCAGGCCAGCCCGCCGCCTCCCCACAAAGCCACCCGTCTCAGCCATACCCCACCCAGCAGTCTGGCCTGAGGCTAGGAAGGGTCCCAGGCTCCGTGGCTGCTGGTCGCACAGGGAAACAGGCCGCGGGGTCCACTGGGCAGGGCTGAGGCACCTGACCGGTCCCTCCCAGGGTCTCTGCTCGCTCCTTCTGATGGGTCTCGCCCAGCCTGGTTCCTCTTCCATCCCAGTTGCTCAGTCGGTGCCCTGCGCTCGGGCTTCCCACTGCCCTTCCACCTGTTTTCTGTCTGCTGTGTGTCCGCTTCCTGGTTCTGTATGCTTCTGTGCATGTTTTTGGATTAAATGAGTATTTCCTAGTGTACCATTGTAATTCTTTTAATGATTTTTTTCACATTTTTTTGAGTTATTTTCTTAGAGGTTGCTCTAGCGACAACCGTGTTTGGTTGTGTTGTTTTTTATTCTGACAAAACATTAAGATTCGCCATCATAACCATCTTTAAGCACACAGCTCAGCGGCATGAAGCACACTCACACCCCACCCTCCAATTCCAGAACCTTCCATCCCCCCACACGGAGGGAGTCTCTGTCCCCATCCCCACCCCAGCCCCGGCTCCCACCATCTCCTCTCTGTGCCGACGGGACTCCTCTGGGGCCCTCCCGGGAGTGGGGTCCTGCGGGACGGGTCCTTCTGGGTCTGGTTGCTCTCACCGAGCCCCATGTCCTTGGGGTCCCTCTGCTTGGTGGCAGGGGTGAGGGTCCCTCCCTTCCTGAGGCTGGACCGTGTTCCTGCGTGGGGATGGACAGCGCCGGGTGTGTCCTTCATCCATGGATGGACACTGGGGCGCTTCCCCTTCTGGCGGCGGTGCACAGTGCGTCTGAGGTCCTCGGGGTGAAAGCTCCACCCCCTTGTCCCCTGCGTGCTGTCCCTGTTAGACCCGCACAGAAACCTAGGCGGGCACAGCGGTTACATGACTTCTTGGGCTGAAGGCTGGCTGGTCCCCATCAAGGGCGCCGTCTGGGGCACCCTGCAGAGTCCGCATCCCATTCCCCAGCCTCCCCGGTCTTTCCTCCTCGCCTCCGACTGACCACCGCCCCACTGGAGCGCTAGCTCCCGCGCGGTGCTGGGGCTGAACCCCACACCTAGGCTGCAGTAGCGTTGTAGGAATATGAGGTTTCGAAAGGGGCAACCATGTGCCCCACGTCCCCCAAACACCGGGCGGCCGGCCCAGCCCTGGCCCCCGGGGTCAGAGCCCCAAAGAACCACAGCGGTCCCTTCAGTCTGCGCAGCCTGCGTTCGACCCTCCGGCCAGCAGAGGGCGCACTCCTCTAACCAGAAAGCGGAAGTGCTTGCGCGCGGACGGCCGGGGGGGCGGGGCGCGCGGGCGACCTCGTGATAACTGCGCAGGCGTCGAGAGGGCGGTCCTTTCCGGAGAGCTGACAAGATGGTGAGTGCTTTGGGTTGGCAGGATTGTTCTCGGCCCATCTGACGCCATCCGCGGTTTGACCGCGCCGTTCCGGCAGGGGTTAGGCCGCTCGGCTGCGGCAGCCTCCGGAGCCGGCGGATATGGGGACGCGGGGTAGGCCCGGTGGGTGCCGGGATGGCGCGGGAAGGCCGGGCCGGGTGACCTCCGCGGCCGCTGGGGGACCGGCCCTCGGGCCCAGCTCTGACCCGCGCCCCGGCCCGCGCAGGCGGAAGTGGAGCAGAAGAAGAAGCGCACGTTCCGCAAGTTCACTTACCGCGGCGTGGACCTGGACCAGCTGCTGGACATGTCCTAGTAAGGGGCGGCCCGGGGCGGGGGCGGGAGTCTGAGCCGGGGGAGGGCGGCCGGGGCCGGGGGAGGGTGTCTGAGCGGGGCGGGGGTTGGTCTGAGCGGGGGCCGGAGAAGGCGGGCGGCCGGGGGTGGTCTGAGCGGGGGCTGCGGAAGGCGGGCGGCGGGGCCGGGGGTCTG